TAGGAAGTAAAATGCCCACAGAAAGGGCTGCCTTTTCAGTACTCTTCCCTAGCTGTTTTTAAGTGACTTCCAAGTACAGACACATTGCAAGAATACATGTAAATGTACATGTAGGCGAATCTGGAGCAGGGTTTGGACACATAAATCATATGTATCTAATATGTAATAACAGATCTTGGGACTGACAGTTACAGTGTATGTACATGTAGTGTAGCCAAGCCAAGCACAGTGGTCTGTGCTGGCAGACCATGAACAGAGGAGAATCCAGGGTATGTAAGCACTATGACATCCTGCAGGCTGTAAGCACTCCTGTGCTGTATATAGATAGGTGCAGTCGTGAATTTGACCTTGTTTGACATCAACTCAACATAAGTGCATCTGAGGTCCTGTATTAGCATCAATATAGAAGCTGTCCTAATGGATCCACCAAGGCAATAGGTTTCCAGCATAATATTAGTCATGACAGACATACAGTATCTCATAAATGACTGAAAAAATATGATATCATATTTTCTGTAGTTCATAATATGCTGCAGCTGAATAAATTGTGCCAGAATCAGTTATCGCAGACAGCTATTTTGCATTGTGTATTTCTATATATAATAATATGTATATATTTTCACTTGCTAAGTGAACTTACTAAGTGAAAATGGTAAAAGATGAAGGTTTGCGTGTGGAAACCCAGACAACTCTGTCAACCATGGCTCACATCTTTAATCCTACTGTCTCCCAGACATTGCAAGTGACAAATAGCTGCTTATCGGCTCAAAAAGCTATCCCTTGGCATGTAAATTATTCACGTCAAGTAACAGGGAGCACCTTTATTATAGTACTTACATGTACCTGTAAACAAGCTCAGTAATCGCTCTCTGACAGACGCTTATGAAGAGCAGTTTATTATAGTATTACATGTAGAACTGGTACATATGCTTATCTTTTCAATTACGTAATAATAACAAGTAGGTCTGCTTCTACTGGTATTTCTTTGGCTGAACATATTTCCAGGAAGATTATTAAGACTGTGTGTGCAGGGTGAAATTCTATTTTTACACTTACTCAAGAACAGTGGGACTGTCAGAATGACACAGCTGTACTTGGTACATCAAAGAAAGTTCCAAGCCTTTACCTGAGTTTCTCTATCTCTTCATCGTCGCTGTAGCTGGGTTTTGGTTTGACCTGCACCTTGTTGATGTCGTCATGAAGACCTTCCAGCAGGAATCGCAGAAACTCTTGGCTGTCTTGTTGGCTGTGGGCAGGGAGGAGGGGCAGGGTTGGAGGTCACAAATCAGACTAGCAAAGGTCTGCATGATGCAGTACTTTCCAACAGAATATACTATACACATGTATAGTAATTGAAGTATGAGGGTCAGGCCATCCATGTAATCTACTGTAGCAGTACCAGTAAATGCTACAAAGACTGGTACAGAAATGTGGAACACTTGCAGGTTCAAAATCCTTTCAGAAATGTTTTCTGCAATGTAAGTCTTGAACTTTGCCAAATTATTACTCTTTTCTTTCTGACACCAGAAAAAATTCTGCTAATTTAAGGGGGTATTGGAACATTGTACAAGATTAAAAAATGCTCATGAAATGACTGTCATTTGGCTAAAGGGTGGCAGGGTTAGTGCACTTACATTATCATACTGCAGTAAAGATGCTTTTCCAAATCACACATTGACAGCTTCATTCACAACTACTCACTTGTATCCAACAAAACGAGGTGCAAACTTCTGGATCTGGGCTTTGAATGCAGAAGGGCTGACTGCATCACTGGATCCCTTCCACATCTGCTTGATGAGGTTGGCAAATGCTGTGGGTGGAGTGGAAACAAATCTACATTTGTAGGGTATAACAGGATAGACACATACCTTATGTATATACATGCATGTATGTATGCATGAATTTGTGAGTTTTAAAGCCTTGTACATTGCATTCCTATCACTGTGGAATGAGACCAGACTACAATATTGCTGCAGTCTTCAATGACAAGACAGTAACGTGATCATGAATAATAATTCACCTAGAAAATTGACTGTTGGCACTGATGCTTCTGATGCATTTAAGAAAGATAATATCATAAATATAGTCCTTGCAGCCATGGATGTACATGTACTGGTGTGTAACTTACCTGATAGCAGTTTTAAATAGACTGAAAAAGTTCAAGCATCAAATGATAGAAGCAAAGACATGTTCCTGAGATGCAACCACTGAGATGAGGTTACATGCACTTCTGGGCTATACACATGGTTGGCTTATAATGACCTGATGAACTTAAACTGTCCTGACCAGCAGATCAGTTAGTATAGTTTAGACTTCAAGGAATATTCACAATCATCTTTGAATAAAAATGAGATTATGTTGATATGTATGAACTTACAGTTAACGATAAGTATAAGGAAAGTATGTACATGTATATATGACTAATACATGATTAAAAAATATGGTAAAAAGTATGGTAAAAAAACTATTGAAATCTGTCCCTCACTGCCAAAGCAGCTAGGTACACGTACATGTATCAAAGAGGCATTTCAAATTCCTTTTGGCTATTTTGATCCAGTAGGGTATTATCCCATGTACAGTTACTGTGCTCAAACCACTAGGCATATTAGTTCAGCACTGATTACAGAGAAGCCAATAGCTACTCAACCATGCAGAACCTGATGGGTGGGGACTATAGATGCAGGTAGTGGGGGCACATACAGTAATCGTCTTGGCATTTCATGGTACGGGACTTTGCCTTAATGGCTACTAATAAGTAAGGATCTTATGGGGCTGTGGAAGGTCATTCCGCGTTATATCGTGCCTCGTCTGATATGTAGCTGCTCAGTTTTCTCTGAAGTAGTGTACAACTGGACTGTACAAACAAAAGCACAATGGTATGAACAGCTTGATGCCAAAAACACAGGCTCAACCCTTCTTTTGAAAACAGCCTTCCCTGCTAGTTCAACACATCTGAATGCCTCACTAGGGGATGTAGAGAGCCCTGAATGTTGCCCGAGAGCTCTTGTCACACTGGCCCCATGGCAGGTATTTGTTCCATGGGAGGTGCAGTATGTGTGTCCATTTATTGATTTTTTCAGGAAGAATTACATGCTTAGGGAAAAGTCATAGCCAAACAACTGGGTGCAAGCATGTGTTTTTAGTCACAGGATAGAATCACTTACTCTCAACTCTCGAATAAAAGTACCCCCTGGAATAGAAGTACCCCCCGGACAAATCTTCAAAATCTAATAAAAGTACCCCCTGGAATAAAAGTACCCCCCGGAAAATTTAAAAATTGACATGTAAGCAACGTCTATGCTCCAAAAATGTGTTCTCATGGTGTATATATATATGTGTGCGTCTGTATGGCCTTGTCACTTGCAATTATTGACAGGTCCTGAATAAACATACCCCCTTGAATATGATTCCCCCAACAAATCTTCAAAACTTTATAAATATCCAGGGATCTCCCCAGAAATTCAGAACAGGGTGGAGGAGGGTGGTCTGGAAACCCCCCCTCCATGGGGGGAAGCTATTGCATTTTGTCTTTTCCAAACACAAATGGAGGTCATTTCCTGCAACTTCAGTTCTACATTTTCTGTACAATTGCAGATGTATAAGGCAGGAGAAAGGTTCAAGATTTAAAAAAAAAAGTTCTATTAGCACCCTTAATTTTGAAAAAATTGGGCATAGGTTCCCCGGATGACCCCTAACCGGGGGCCAACGGTGCTTCCACAAGTTCAACAAGTGAAAAATACATGATACAAAATGTACATGTATTTACTACCTGGAACTTGGAGCAAGTTATTCCAAAGATGTACTTACTGACATTAATATATTAAAAACTAAACCAAATCCTATTTCCCAAACAAATCACATATTGACACAGCTGAACAAATAAAAATGTGATCATGTCTATAAACTCCACTCAAAAACAATTTTTGAGAGACACTCGGGTACTAAGCGTGATAATCTCTAATATCTCATCTGATTCTCCCAATGTAAAGGATCTTTACAATCACAGCATCCAACCGCACATACATAGAAACAACAATATTACACAAGAAACCAATAAATTCGGAAAATTTCTCAGTAATGTTTGAAAATTATTCTTATTAAAATATAAGTGAATTTTTATTTCAGTTGTAGCCGAAAAAATATTTTTCATGCGTTTAAAGTATCGTTTTAGCACTGTAATATGTACTTAGTACATGTCTTATACATTTGGATGCTATCTTGACCTTTGACCACTGTTATTGTAAAAAGCAGGTCGGCCATTTTGTCTTTCTCGCCGTGGCTTTTCGAGCCGTTTTTTCGAGCAAATTTCAACCATTTTAAACATTTTACGGCCTCAAAAACTCATACAACGAGGAAAACAAGTTGTAGCTGTCATTTTCATGCGTAACATTTCTTCTGGGGATGGTTTATTTTTCCGCCGAGCTGCCGAAAACTAGCGTCAAACCGCAACCATGCGGTTTCTTCGCGGCGGCCGGCGGGAGTTTTTGTATCGGAGCTTTCACGATGTAAACAAAGATAGTCGGAGTTGTTTATCTGAAAATTTTGTTGTGAAACGCCAGCGGGGTGTCAGATTTTCTACTAATGACAACGTTTTCTTTGTGGCGTCATGGCGAGATCGACAATTCATCGACAATTCACAGGAATTTGTGCCGACAATGGAATGAATTTTCCCGGAACTTTTCCGATTTTGAAAAAAGAAATAAACGTACCGTCTAAAATAAGAATGTACCGGGTGGATTTTGAGGCGAAAAAAAATAAACGTACCGGTACGTTTAATAGAGAGCCGAGAGTACCTGCACATGTCACAGCTTGTTCATTTAGAAACAGGTCAGTTTGTGGTTATGTTGTGGATAATCAAAGTGTCAATATTTGGTTGAAGTGGTTCAACTTCAAGCTCAAAGTTATATGTAGGGCATGGTTCACTTAATTCTACAAAGCAATACTGTTGAGTGTGACATTTCTCGCATGAGAGACAATTCTACTTTGTCCTTTCCCTGAACTTCGTTTTTTAAGGTTACCAAAAATTACACATTCAAATGCAGGTCTGGCATTTTCTAGTGTCACTTTGTTACATGTACATGTACTTCCAGTGATTTGCTTTTGCATTAACAAGCCATCCAATACACAACAAGGTACCTATTCAAGGTCCTAAGAGTAATTTATCTCCCAGAATTTTCCTGTCATTATTCATACAGGGCCTTCTATGTGTGTAAGGTTGCTACAAATGTAATTTATACAACCTACTTACCTACATTTTGGGATACTCACATGGAAATGGATTTAGCACAGCTGAGGCATCAGAAGAATATATTGGATGTCCACGTGTCTGAATATTCATATAATCACAGTGACGCAGGTGGATTCATTTTATGGCTGAAGCAACCGCCCATCACTGTCCTACTTTTGAGTATTGATCTGGGTGAGCGATAGTCAGATTGGCAAAGAGATATATTGCAGGCAGTAACACACACCTTTCATGAGGGCTCCTTTCATACTGCTGTTGGAGTCCTTGAGGTCAAAGATGTAGCTGTCGTTCATGCAGTAATCAGCCAGCTGCTTGGTGTGGCTTAGACACTGCAGGATGGAGTTCATGAAGCACTGCAACAAGACAAAATGGTGATGGAACCATCATCTTTAGAATGGAGTCATACACATTAAATTTTGTATACACATATCATAGAGATGGAAAATAAGGATGCAGTATTCAGTGCTTTTCCAAAAGTACAACTTTTAAACATACATATCCAATCAATAATCATTTGGCAAAACATTATTTGACAGCCTTTCTTTGTAAAAATTCTCCTGTACAAATTAAGTACGTCTGATGGCATTACAAGCACTTGTCCACATTGACTGCCCCCTATGATACTGTGAAAGGCTTTCTCGTTTATGCAGGTGTGTAAGAACTCTATCCACCCTTAACAGCTGTACTGTGATTGAGACTGAGTACTTACGGTGTTGCCCAAGTTTCGCAGCCCCACCAAACCCTCTGCCGATGAGCCTCCTATTGACGAGCGACGACTGTTGGCTCCCTGTGGGGTTAAACAAAATTAAACCTCAGTTACCATTATACTTTCACTTTTAGTTTTAGCATTTTGTTATCACATCAACATTTAGATATGTAATGTATGTACCGTATAGTACAAACTGAAATCTTGCCACATGGTTAAGTCATACAAAACTTAGGGACTCTACACGTCTGTTAATCAATATCATTGATAAGTGGGACTGATAGCAACACGTTCTGATAATAAAACCTTTTGTTACATGATGACTTATCAGATTTCCACTCTTTAGGGCATGTTTCCTACCAAACAAATCATAATCAATAATCCCAAGCCGAGGACTTAAAATTCGTATAGTGTAGCATCTGACAATACATGTACATGTAGGTAGACGTCAAAGGCTCCAGTGCCTAATAATAGGAGCAGTGCAATGTTAATACTTTGTGCCTTGGGCATGGCATTGGTAGGCAGAGCCCATCCTATCCCTCTGTCTGCCATAATACACCTTTTTTACTTCCCAACCAACGTAAGGCACCCATTCACACCTGAAAATAGGATTTCTTATATTATTCTTATAATCTTATCAAAAAGTTGATGATATCATTATTATCATCATAATATACAAATACGGTTATGACATCCTCAAACTTCCTAACATGTGTCAGTCTGCTTCATGACTGCTTCCCTATTACTGCTACATGAATGGTTACATACATGTAATTCTATAATTTTTCAATGGCCTTGGGGCTACATGTGTACCAATGTAAGTGACTAGCCACTATAGAAGCCACATTTCAAAATACTATAAAGCTTGAGACTTTGCCTTGTGGCAATAATATACAGTTCAACTCCAACAATTATTGGAAATTATGTTTTGAAAACAAAGATCCTGAAATTTGGCATGGGAAAGTACATGTACAATTTGTAAGTGTGCCTGCTGGCTATAGAACAGGCATTCCATAAATAGCTCTGCTCTTGCCCTACACATTCCAACAATCCAAGGACTAAAACTGCATTGGTAAATAATGTGGAAGGTTTCTGGTTGGCTAAACACTTTTGGTTTCTTTCTGTTTATCCACATCTGCTTAAACCAGTAACATTTTGGCTTCGTTTTGGACTTACAGTGTACTTGTATTGTTTACTTAATAATATATACCTAAAGACTACTGTATCTATGAAATGGAACATATTCAAGAACAGGTCCATTAGCGTTCTATGTATTGCTGATCAATACACCTGAATTTCACACCATCGATCAACGGTCAGTAACCCCAATGGCCCTTGACCTGGAGTCCTGATGAATGTGTGGCAGCTTTGATCAAGAATAACCTGTTCTTGTGTGCTCTGTGCTAAAGACCTAAAACCTGGTATAATGTACTACCTTTCATGTAAGTTGACAAAGGGTCTCACTTCCAAAGTATCTATAGACTGAGACAAACAGTTTATGGTACACTGTCATCAAGATTAGCTGGTATCTTACAGCTTCCTCCCTGAACAAATATAGCTCTGAATGCCTTCATGTCTGTCAGGGATGTGACATCATCACGACTCACAACATGGAACCCTCCAAATATAGAAATGTGTTCTGGCTGATCGGTGTGGCAGAATCAGTGGTACTTAACTGACGTACGCCCTTAAGTACCTAGACCTTTTACAATGTATCTTCATCATTGTCTGTCCATCCCCAGATCTGAAGAGGTGCTTAAAATAGCAGCTGAAATGTCTGAATTAAGCTGGCCTTTAAAGAACACATAAACTGGGAGTGGGGGTGAAATGGCGTTTAGAGAATGTATAATGTTCACCTCCCTTTGGCTTGACCTCACTATGAGTATGATGGCCTTTTCAATCTTTCATGTACATGATATATATGGTATACATCACAAAAAGAGAGCTACAGGAAGGTCACAGACTGTCCAGGTCACAAATGAGAAATGATAATTATGTAAAATACTATAGTACCTTTAATCTCTAGTATAACTACAAGTCTTTAATTTTTCATGTGGCTTGAGATTACTATAGTATACCACCATGGTGTGATAAGCAGATTGCATAATACTATAGGGATTGACTCCTTTGGTGTAGTTTCACCTGTGACATCTCTATCTGTAGCTCTCTTATAGGTGGTGGGTGGATTTTCCGATTGCTTACTACACTTCACAGAGAAGATGCCATGCTATTATTAGAAGTGCAGGCTTTGTTATCTTGGGGGCAGGTGGCTGTGAGATACATGCAGCAAAAGCATCAGAGTGGTTTAAGTTCACGACACTGGAATATTGATTGCCACTCGACATGAGCAATCACCTACAACGCTGAACAGGGGTCATTTCATTTGCATTGTTGGAAAGGGTTTACCGGTATATAGCAACCTGTGACTAATCTAACCACATGTCACACCTAGAGCTGTGTACCTAAACAAATTTTAGGTACAGGTACAGGTACAGGTACACAGGTTTAGGTACAGGTCCGGACCTGAACCTGTACCTGAACAATTCGACCAATTTACATGCTCTTCTGAACTCCTTCAATAACAAAAAAACATTAATAAACTTGTTAGTTAAGGTTTATTCTTTGTTTATGGCGAATGCTCAGATAAAATATAGGCAAAACTAAAGATGTTTTTGTTTTCATGAACACACTGTCCTTACACAGGGACCCATTTGAGGTCACAAATAGGCATAAAATTGGTGTGAAATTGTTTAGGTACAGTACCGGTACTGAGGGATTAGGTATTTTGGACCTGTACCTAATCAATTTTTCCGGTACAGTATCGGTACTGCGTACCGGTACACAGCTCTAGTCACACCTGTACAAGGCCATGACAAAAAGAGTCTTGATGGTTTCATCAGCATTTTTCCATTCCCAAAGGGCACTGTTACATGTATCTCTTACATGGAACAACCACCAGGTTATTGTTGAATGATTAATGGTTACATGAAGCTATAAGGCCAAATGGGGTCCGATCATATCAATACCCATACACTCCCATGAGGGCACAAACAGGTTTTGTGGAATTCAGGCTTTTAGATTTGCACTATAATTGTGACTGTCCCACAGGTGCATTGTACACCTGGCAATTAGGGAAAGGTTTCCTTTGGGAGCTACCATCTCTTTGTAATGTATCCAAGATTTGACCATTTTGCTATTCAAAGCTTCAATGAAGACTTTTAAAATGAAACTGGGAAGACTTTTGTGATGTCTAACATGATTACAAAATAATAGTACAATAAGTACCCATGTTGAGATTTGTGTTAGCAACCGTATATTGTGAAACATGTGTCCAATCTTTCCTCTCTTGTAACCACCTTACTGTCTGTCACATACAGTGTATACGTGTTATGTTAGTGTACATCAGTCTTATACTCTTAAGATGTGTATGTTGATGTTAAACTTGTTTTTTTCTCCTTCAGAATAATAGTACTGCATATAGTGGATGATAAAGCAACAAAATGCTAATTCTTGGAAAGCGAAATGCTTTCTTTGGAAAAAGAAGTTGATAGTTTCTCTCCCCTTTTATATTTTTATAGACTTACAGATGCATGAAGCTGCTCAGAGTCAGAGGGAATCCGAACACAGCTCATTTTAAACTGACAAACACACGTGCAGAAATACTTACACTGCTCGGAGGTGTTCCGTGGTTGGTCAGTCTTGTTACTGCAGATGGACTGTCGTTCTCCCTGTCCACAGAGCTGGATCTGGACATACGATCCCGGACTGGGCTGCCTTTCCTTCTGTCTGCACTGAAGTCCAATGTGATTTCTTGGCTTCCTCGGCCACCAGACACCTGAGTCTTGGAGACTCTCGAGGAAGTATTGGAAGTTCTTGATGGCAAATCTTCACTTTTATAACTAAGTTTGGATATTGAATTAGTCCTTGGCAAGGTGTTCCTGGTCTTGTAAGGATCACTTTTACTGGTCGGGTCACTGGTTGATGAAAGTCTTTCAAATTTGCTTGTCAGGTCCGAGACGCTGTGTGACTTTGAACCACTTTCCAATTTTGTGATGGTCACGTGCGCGCCACCTGAAGCTGACGACGAATACCGCGAGGAACTCATGCTGCCGCCATACTTGTCACTAGTGTATCGATACGAGTCGTCATGTTTGTCGGTATGAACAGATTTGATAGGTGATGTTCTTGTGCTGCCATTGTAGGTGCCCCACCTGTCCTTTGGTATTCTGTTTCCTTCTCGATCAAGTGGTCCTGGGCCATTGGGAAGGGTGCGACTACTACTCGTGTAGCTCCGACCGTAAGTCGTGGTATAGTTGTCCGCTGGAGAAGGATCTCTCCTTCGATACGCAGAACCAGAAATGCTTTCGTTCCTTGACGGCATAAGGGATGATGATGATGGATAATTGTAGATACTTTGATACCGTTTTGACAGCAGTGTTGTGCTTCCACCCGCCATAGGAGAGCTCTCACGAATGGGTGACCTAACAGATCGGTACTCGGAGTAAGACATGCCACCAGAGAGTCACTGAAGTCGTATTATCGTTTGGACAGCTTTTCTCTTCATAGTTCATATGGCTGTTTAATGAGATTTACATTAACATTCCAGAAATCTTGCGTCAAGCCCACTTCCTGTCCCTGGCTGGTTCACCCACACATACACACCGGTATGTCACTGTGCTGGTACCACCCTCCCAGAGTCGGGCAATCAGGCGGTCCAGCTAGCGCAGTCTTCGAGATTCCTGGCCTTCCTGTACCACAGATGAAAAGAAAAATGGACGTGATGCTAACTGTGGTCAGTTAGAGCAAACAGACATACCCAAACAGACCGGGAAATCACGCCATACCAACACACCCCCTTGACGTTTCTGTCTGTGTACCCACCTACCTCGCAAAGCGTCCTCAGTAAGTCGTCAGTTTGGGGCTTCTACTCTAGTGCCGCCTGATTAAAATGCTCCAAAAACGTCAAATATCGTAGACGACGTCTTTATGTGTGTACGACGAACATCCTGTCCGCGACAAGTGCCGGTTTGTTGCGTAGTCGTCGTCAAAGTGCAAAACGTCCGAGAATCATCATCGCCCGAGCCGCCATTATTAGATCAGTCACGTGACAGAAATTTTGAGATGTTTTCATGGCGACCCACTCTCGTGACCAGGATTGTTAGAATGCTCTCTTCTCGTTTCCAGGGCACCTCATGCAGTCTTGGGAGGAGATTGGGGGTGAATCACAAGGGATTACCGTACACATTTTGTTTTCTTCCTTAGATAAAGAAGAAACATAGTATACTATGTGCTGAAGACATATTGTTTTTCCTCATCTTTCTTCTTCTTCTCCTCCTCCTCCTTCTCCTGCCATTTCTTTAAATTGAAGGGCCAAATAACATGAAATTTGGCATGAAGGTACATGTAGATTGGGCAAATACCCCATGCGTTTTTTTCTATTTTTGTGGTACAAGCTTTTAGAATGTTTTTTTTTCTTTACAGCTTTTTGTCTGTGTTATAGAAAATGTACTATAGCAATGTGTTACCATATTTGGGCATGAGTCATTCAACTCATGTCATGTCAACTCTGCTGAGGTAGCACAAAAAGCAAATCAAGTACTTGGTCTAGTGAAGAGAACATTCTCCAACCTGGATGAGGTAAACTAGAAATTAAATTAAAAAATCCTAACCAATAATGTTAGGACAGCTATCCAACTGTTGTCACTTCATACTATAGTTATATCAATGTAAAGGATTGTTTTCCCTTGTGTAGTTCTCCTTCTTTCCCTGCCATGTCGTAAAATGTGGTGAAGCCATCCGCTTCATTTGCTCCAAAGCAAATGTCGGCCTTTCTAGTTAATAGTTATATTCATATACCGACTTCATTTTCTGGTTACTAGGTCATTAGGAAAAAAAAAGTTCATGGCGATTTCCCGACCCGCTAGTATCTGCTTGAAGATTAATCATTTCCCACTCAGAAGATGTTCGCGTGATAATAGTGCATGGCTGGAGGCATGCCAAGGCTGTGCCAACACCAGTTAAAAGCAGCGACTCAATTATGTTAATTTTCCAAAAGCCAAACGCCATAGATACATGTACTCGTACTCGTGTCCGATGATTAAGAACAAACAACAACAGTGCACCTGAATAAAAGAGTAACTCGAAAGACCATATATACATGTATATCGTGGTCCAATATGCGGCTACGGGACTCTCTCTCGATCGCGCGCATTTAGGCTTTACGAGTGCGTATTTGGGCGTCTTTCATTAGCCTCTACCAGGCTTCGGGAAGCGGCTGAAAACTGTACACGTAGAACGGCAAACTGTACCCTAATCGCGGACCAACTCCCATGGCATGTCATCTGTCTTAGTTTGGCTGATTACTACTCTTTCCAACCACTTCCGAAGCTGGTAGAGGTTAGTCGTTCATTAATAATTCCGTACATGAATCAGTACAAAAAGTTTAACATCACGAAACTGTTGTCAGAATGTTTACTTTCATTTCCGCCAACTTATCGTCAAAGTTACGTCTACCAGTTGCAGGTGCGTATTCTCTGGGTATTTATGGCCCTTCCTCCATGTGTGGTGTGTCAAGTCAATATTTCTCTCATCTTACCCCTCCCACAGTATTTCATGTTTGGCTTTGATCTTTCCCTTAAAGATTTTCATCTCGACATGACATCAGACTTGGCAAGTGTTCAACTCCCTTAAACGCCCTGGAAAGGGCGCGGCGTGGCGCAGAGGCGCGGGCAGAGGCGTGTGTGTACCGCGTGACCAGCTTGTGATCGGCCGGAGCAGACACAGCAGCTTTTTTGGGTAAGACCATTTTTGATATCGTTCACGTTTTCGATCTCGGCCCAGTCTCAATGGCTTCATTAAGGCGGGAAACTAAAACTATCTGATGAATAACCATTCGTTTAAAAGG